TTCAGCCCAGACAGACAGCAGCTCTGGATGTTTCACTGCTTACATGGTTACTTGCTCCCCATCATGATCCAGCAGTTCAGGCCTTACTGCAGGTCCTTCTTCTGCCTGAGATGACAGTGGCATCTCTCATCTGACTGGGACTCCCGTCTTGTCTTTATAAATCCCATGTCCTTGTCTTCATAAACCACATGCCCTTGCCAGCAGGATTCCTGAACGGGTGGAATGGGCTGGGGTTTTTTGGCTTCTTGGAAGCCATACACCAAGCAGGCAAGTAAATGGAAAGCAAAGGGGATTTTTGACCTGATCATGTCCAGCAACCCGTTCCTTGGTCGACAGGCTGGTTTTTGGCTTCCCCTTGAATTGCACAGCTGTCACACTGGCTCTTCGTCAATGCGCAGAAAGACCATTCCTTATTCTGCCTTTAATTTTGTTTGTGAAGGGCATAGAGCATTTAACCTCAGTTTGGTGGAATATAGGCTGATGACTTCTCAGCAACTTGATTCTGTGGGCTTGAGTTTCCTGCGTGGAAGATTTATTGGCAAAACTTCAGCTGATAAAGGGAGCTTCAGGCAACTAGTAATTAGTCTTCATGAAGCAAAAATGAAACACATTTCCAAAAGATCTTCACAGGGGAACGGCACCCTTCCACGTCTGCTGAGTTGTCTGGTGACGTTTTTTCTCCATTCACCCTGTTTTGCTGAGATCTTTGCTGGACATCAAATCTCTCCCTTGCCCTTTGGGACCAGACTGGAACATGGAGGGAACACATCCACTTCTTGGATGCTGCTCTGTCAAACTGTATCAAAGGCTCTGTCTCGAGTGTCTGTGCTTCTCCTGGCGTTGAGCAGGTCTGAAAATTTAATAGTACATAAGGGCTTTCTCCCCAGCCTGTAATTGTGGGGTGCTTCATGTGCCTGATTATGACTTGCCATAAAATCAGTCTTGGAAAGGCTTCAGCCATTGCAAAGTCCTGCTTTATTTGTATTTCATTTTCTCTGGGTATTTATGAGTATTTGCAGTGGTACATCTACAAGGCTTGTAGCATTTTAATGCTGCAGTAAAGTTTTGCACTGAAACAACTGGTCTGCAAAAGGTGAAATTTTTCCCTAAAAATCAGAACAAGGAGAAAGGACTTTTCTGGGGAAGAAAATAGAAACACTGGAAGATTTTCTCTACTTTTCTTTAAAATATTGCAGTGTCCTCAGGCTGAAGCTAAACTAATGCTATGGTAGAAAGGTCATCTGGGAGGAAGGGATTTGCTGTGGCTATTTTTTGAAGAAATAGGAAGTGTTCCCTTTGTTATGGTGGCTTGATCTGTTCGGTAAGAGACACGTAAGCGTGCTGCGTTTCAACGGAAGAGCTGAGGGTAACGAAGCAGAGTGCAGCAGCCGGCGGATTAGCAGTCAGAGCAGCAAGCAGGGTTTGTGGGAGCAGCTGCACGGGGTGGGGGGGTGGAAGAAAGGACTCAATCCACTGCTGCCACATTTAGTCTTTTGTGAGATAGTTGAGCTTGTTTAGTCTGTGGGAGAAGCTTTAGGAGATGGTAATAGGGGTTGGGCAGCAACTCAAGGAAACTGGCCTTTTTGTGGGGAAGGCTGTACTGAAAGCCGTGCTGGGGGGCTGCCAAAGAGCAGAAACGGCTCTTTGTGAAAGTTCGGTCCCGCTGTCCCCAAAATGAGGTGGGAACTGGGAGGGAAGAGGCAAGATGGAAAGGTTGGGGGGCGTCTGGTTGCGTTGCATTCCACAATTCCACTTTTTTTTTTTTTTTTTTCTGGATGATTCCTGCTTTCCTGTTTTCAGACAGAAACAGCAGGTGCTTCCTAAGCACATAATAGATCGCATGGATCGGCAGGCCCTGGGGCTTGGGGTTGGCAGAAGCACCGGGGAAACCAGTGGGAGGAGGGCTCCCTTGATGGGGAAGTCATTGGATGGAGGTGCAGTGAGAGCTGGAGGAGCTGTCAGCAAGCTCTGGGTGAGCAAAAAGACAAGCTGTGGATAAAAAAACCAAACCTCAGCTCTTAAAAAGTTGGGTTTAGTTAGAGTGATGCCATTTAGGAGAGAAAATTTGATAGGTAGTTATATTTTTCATGCTCAATTCCAATGGAAAAAGTCACTGATTTTAACAAAAATAAAGACTATTGGTGTTTATAGAAGGTATTTTTATATGGAGTGTTAGGACACATACCAGGCTGTGCCTACAAAGGAGATTTGAAAGCACTTCATGTTACACGTGCTGGACTTAAAGCCTTTTTCAAACAAAGTTTCTGTTTTACAGGTTAGAATATTGTATGCTTTTAAAGACTAAGAAAGCCAATCAGGATTAAATATTATCTTAACTTTATATACTGCTTAGCCAAATCATTTTTTATCTGGGACTTAAAAGTAATCTGCTTTTTCCTTTCTTTTTTTTTTCGTCCTTTTCTTGCTATATACCAAAAGATTCAGTTTTTAATCTGAGTACCGATACGAACTGTTGGCAAGATGCAAACATCCATAAGCACTCGCTGCAGGTGGAGGGCTTCTGGTTTTGCCATAGCAGCAAACCAGACCATTCCTAGTGCCTGAAAATCTGGAGGCTTTACTCCAGCTGACCTTCTACTCTACAACTAAGTTAGGTCACCAGTGATTTGGAGTTTAGAAACAATCTCCATCAGATGATCTAGTTGAATCTCATCCACAGACTTCCAAATATGCAGTTATTTGGAAATCCATGCACAATTTCTTAGTTGCTGTCCATGTTTTTGCCTAACTTTTCAGTAACAGCATGTTTTTAAGGAGTAGGACAGTTACAAACAGGGTTGGACTCGATGTCCAACCAGAACTTTCCAAGAATATTCTGTTTTATGCCCCCAGATTGTGAGAGAACAAGACCTTTGTAATGAAATACCATGATGCCAGAAAATTACTTACTTGCTGTGGGGGAGACTGATGTAATATCCTTCTTCCTGGAAGACAGCTGCTTTTCCAGGGAAATAGGATACAGGAGAGGAGGCTACAGGGCTGTTGAGCACATTGGGCAGGACAGTGGTAGCGATAGCTTTTGTGCAACAAGAAACCAAGGGTTTGAGTTGTTGTACATGTTTTCCCACCAGAGGAAAAACTTGACGACCCTGAGATATATTAATACAGCTCGTTTAGGTTTTTTTTTAAACAAGATGGCATTACTCGTCTCCCTGCTGTACTGACAGGGATGCTGGAAGCTGGGATGAGTCCGGCACTAGTTTGCTTGGCATTTTTACGCTGCTGGCTCTGAAACCTGAAGCCAATGCTCCATCCGGAGCATCTCCTGTTTGGCTGGGGGTCCTGGGCTCCCTGCTGAGCTCCCTGATGGCAGGACGATGTGCGTTGGCTCCCTTGGAGGGTACCTCGGCAGCCAGCAACGCAAACTGCTGGAGAGCAGCGCTCCCTCATTTCACTGAGCTCCTGGCAGGAATCCCAAACTGCTTTGATTTCAGCAGATCTCTTCTATTTTGTTCTGGGTTTTAATCAAAACCTTTTTAAATGGAGAAAATGCCACCCAGCCAAAGCTAGTCATGATTTCTATTTTCAGCTCCAGCTCTTGCTAAAACCTCTGCCTGTTTGTTCATGTGTGAAAGTAGTGCCCGAAGTCTGTATAGAGCCAAATGCAAGAATAGGCAGCGTCACAGTCAAAAAGGCTGGAAAATGGGAATGATGATACTTATTTCTCCAAACTCTTGCAAGGCTTTGTTAATGTGATGTTTGACGTGTGGGTTCTCGCTCAGCGAAATGTGTATCAAACACTGACAGTCCTAGTGCCGTTCATATTTATATTCAGTAATGATTCAGGCTCTTGAAAAATCATGTTCAAATTACATGTTCTGTAGCTTTAATTTCCTGTTGCTAACAAGGGAATGATTTGCAGTTTCTTGTTTGTCCTCCTCTATGCCATAGCCTGGAAGCCTTGCTCCGTTACATTGCCGAGTTTCACAAGCAAAGCTGCCTTTTTTTGTATTAGCTAGTTCCTAAATCTCATGGCTTTCAACGTTTCTCTCTAAAAACACTTTCTGTGAATCTTAATGTTTTTATGCATATGTACCCTAGTGTAGGATTTGAAGCAGGTAAGCCTCTCGGAGATTCAATTAACATAGGACCAATATCTATTTATTGCAGTAGTACTATAGGATTAGCCTATGGTGTCTGAGAAATGTGTGGCATGCCTGTTTTTTCCCCCTAAAACCCTTCTAGAAACCTATACCCAGAAAACTGTTTTTCTTAGCATTGTTTATATCAAATGTTCTGGCTCTGCCTGTCTCATAGGTGCTTTTTCTCCTCCTATATCTTCCCTTTGCCTGAGATGAGGCTTTTTATTCTTTAGAGGCATCGTTTCATTCCGATTCCTTTGGAAAAAATTACAATAGGTGTGGTGTGATAGGAGGGGAAGTAGGACAGAAAGCTGCATCTCCTTGTAGCCAAGCAGTGAGCAGAATAATGAAAGACTTGACGAGTTCAAGTGTGCTTTACAAAGACCCAAAAGCAATTTGTGGATGTTTTCCCAGAACCCATTTAGACTGTCACTGTAGTATCTGAGCATATCCATTTTAGTGGATTTATTTTCCCAGTCCCCTGCAATGAGGTAGGAATGCTGTTGCTTCAATTTGATAAATGGAGAAGAGAGAATATAACTTGTCTGGGGTTATGTGCCGGGCTTGTGGCAGAGATGTGAGTTGATTCTAGATCATGTGTGGCTCAGGCTCCTTCCAGCCTCCTCTGCGTTAAAAAAGGAGCTGAACCTCTGGCACAGGAGAAACAAGCAGTGCTGTGAAAAGGTAGAGAAACCGGGGAAGAAACAAGCCAGAAGGGAAATGCAGCTGTGGTAATAGTCGCTGTTGTGCTGATGGATCGCTAGTGAAAACCGAGTGCCTTGCTATCGCTCACCTCAGAGGGTGCTGTTAAGTACTTCAAGCACAGCTGTCATTTCTTTAAGGGTTTATTTCAATTTAATGCCTTGGGCTGTGTGGTGTAGCGGTTCTGGGGTCACCATGTGTCCGGTGTGGTGGTTGCTGCTGGGTCTGGAGGGGAGAGATGGACCACTGGAGTCAGTGCTGCTGACCATTGTTCATCTTCCCAGCCTAAGCGAGCAGACCATTGTGCTCGAGAACCTGGTCAGTGTAGTACATGAACATACGTGAACGTGAACAGGAGTGATAAAATGTTGATGTTAAACTTTCTTTCTTTACCTTCTTGAAACAGCTGGTCAAAGGGCTGCAGCAGGAGCTGAACCGGCTATACACACTTTTCTGCTCCCGGAATCCAGAGTTTGAGGAGAAAGGAGGGAAAGTCTCGATTGTGTCCCACTCGCTGGGCTGCGTCATCACCTACGACATCATGACTGGCTGGAACCCGGTCAGGCTTTATGAACAGTTGCTGCAGAAGGAGGAGGAGGAGCTTGAAGACCGGTGGATGAGCTATGAGGAGCAACGTTTACTAGAAGAACTTTACATAACTAAACAACGGTAATGCATCCACTTCTGATTGTTAATGGAGAAAACCACATCCGTAGATGATGCCCTTTGAGTGTTTCCAGAACCAACCATGGCTGTTATCTTTTGTGGCTGACGTTCTTCTGCTCGTGATGAATGGCAGTGGTAAACGCTAAACACAGGACTGAGCAGGCACAGGGAGCTGGCACTGCTCATAGGAGCTCTGAAACCACATCCTACGGGCTGTATCAGAACCAAACAAGTAGCTACTACTGCTCACTAACCACATGCACTGGGAGCAGATCATAGCCAGGAACAAAGGAGAAGGTCAGGCCGTTAGCCGTCCAGAATACTTGAGGAGAAACACAACAAAGTAGCTTGCAGGTGGGCAGTGAGCTGTAATACTGAGCAGAACCTGAGCAATGAAATTCCCAGGTTTCTAGAGGAAAATAAGAAGTTTTCTCCTAGGCTCAGCTTGGAAATTGAGCTCCACCAGCTGGATACTAATGTTGTAATTGCTGTGATTGGGTTTATGGGGTTACTACTCTGCTGCGGATCATTTACCAGCTTCTTCCTGCTGTCGTCTAGAAACGTTCATGCTGTTTGGAGTGTGAAGCAGCACTGCCCACTGTGACAAACAGGATCTCAGCTTCAGTGCCTGGCAAGTGTTGGTAGAGATTCTCAGTGTTAGGGGACCTTGCAGAGCATCGTGATGCCTCCACAGTATTAAGATGACTTCTCTGTTCTAACCTGGATATCAAGGTGCTATGAGACACCCGTAGATAGAGAATCTTAATAATAGTAGCTTGAGCTTCAGTCTTTCCAGTGGAAGGTGAGGATAAATCATGATCACAGTTCTTTTTGGATCCTTCTTGAAACCTATCTTAGAGTTGGCAGTACTTTGGAAACATTAATATAGCATCAGATCTCCTGCAGTGCTTGAAATCAGGACGTGTGTAATTAGGGATTGGTACAGGACATCTCTATCAGCTGCAAGGCTGGACAAAGCACAGCCTTTCTGAGAGAAGGGAAGTAAGAGACTGAATGAAGTTGCTCGGGGGTAAGATGACCCTTCAGGCACATCACTAGCGTATGATCAAGGAAAAATTACCATTTTCACGCTCCAGCTCCTTAGGCATGCTCTGAAGTGCCTCAGATTGCATCCACAGTAATCCAAGTATCATTTGACACTGGCACTTCTGTATAGATAGAGTGGCTCTCCATTTCGTGAGCTATCTTAGTGCAATTCATTCTGAAATAATAGAAAATATGCTACTGACATCCTATAACTTTGGGATTTCTAGTGTTTTAAGGATGGCAAACACATAGTGGATTTCTGGAAATGCTTATGCCTGTGTAGGGTGTGTTCTAACATGTATAAATATTCTGTGCTGTGGAATAGCGTACATGCAGCATGTGAAGTTGTGTATTGGTACCCTTCCACAATAGTTCTCAAGAGGCAGGAATTCGGCATGCCTTCTTTTTTAAGACTGAATTGTGCTCACTAAAGCATACAAACCTTTTTGAAAGTACTGCTCTTTGGGAAGTTTCAGCTCCAGACTTGCTTCTTTCTAACCAGGATGGCAGAGGTTAAGCTTAACGGATTTGTTTCCGTAATGCTTTTGTGGAACTTGAGGAGATGGTGTTTTCCTGCTCTGAAGAGGGCATAATGCTCTAGTTTACCAGTCCATATGAGGTGCTTTATATTGTAGCTACTTTTTTTTTTTTTAATTCAGGCTAACTAGAAAAACAGGTGAACCTTTTTCAATGATAATTGAAAGGGTGGGACACTGTCCTCCAGATACTCCACCACAATACAGAGCTCCATAATGCTTGGGCCATGGAGTTTCCCCATGGCTTTGTTGGGGTTTTGGGTGTTTTTTTAAATAAAAACAGGTGATTTGGTTGCTAAAACACCAAGGAAACAGGAGTTGAGTTACCTATTCAAGGAAGAAGGGTGAGCAGATGCTTGGGGTGATGAACAAGGAAAATGTCATGCCCTGATTGAGTCCTCCTCTGGTCAGAGAAACAGGATTTCACATATATTGATTCTTGATCAATTGGACTGCCTCCAAGAAATACTGACGCCATCACTCTCTCTTCCCAGCAGCCAAAACTGTTGGACCCCACAGG